GATAGAGAAACATTGCCGATGACGGTTACTCGAGAGGCAGGCGCGCACTGAGTTGTGAATGAGGTGGCAGCTGCTGTTGTTGGTTGATTTTGGTTAGCAGAGTCAGCACTAACTGAAACAGAAGGTCTCTCGTTTTGTGTGTTAACTACCAATCTGTTGAATTTCTCTATTAGCCTAGACTTAGTGCGAAAGCGAACAGATTCACAAACTGTCTTTGATCTACTCACGATGCTCCTCCAAAGAACGTTCGGCATCAAGCGTTCACAGCAATGTTCTTTGTACAGACATTTCTTTAACGTGGCGAAGATATGATCCTGTTTGGACTTCAGTGCTGCGCGTAGGATTTGCTGCTCGATTTTCTTTAGTTGCCGGATTTCTTCTGATAATCCACATGCATCGTGAATGTGTTTGTCCTTGATAAATCTCGGGACCACATGGTGATGTAGGCAGCGGCGGAGGAACATAATAGTCTGTCTTTCGGAGACTATTTGTTGTCGCATCGAGAGGACTTCTTTGACAATGCGAGTGCAGTTTGCTGGTGCGTCTTCAATAACACTTAGAGCTCGATTGTCAATTAATCTTGGCATAGTCCATGTAGCTTTGGTATGATATTTGAGCAGTGGCCAAGCTGGCCACTGCTCAAACTGCACTCGCATTGTCAAAGAAGTCCTCTCGATGCGACAACAAATAGTCTCCGAAAGACAGACTATTATGTTCTTCCGCCGCTGCCTACATCACCATGTGGTCCCGAGATTTATCAAGGACAAACACATTCACGAGGCATGTGGATTATCAGAAGAAAGCCGGCAACTAAAGAAAATCGAGCAGCAAATCCTACGCGCAGCACTGAAGTCCAAACAGGATCATATCTTCGCCACGTTAAAGAAATGTCTGTACAAAGAACATTGCTGTGAACGCTTGATGCCGAACGTTCTTTGGAGGAGCATCGTGAGTAGATCAAAGACAGTTTGTGAATCTGTTCGCTTTCGCACTAAGTCTAGGCTAATAGAGAAATTCAACAGATTGGTAGTTAACACACAAAACGAGAGACCTTCTGTTTCAGTTAGTGCTGACTCTGCTAACCAAAATCAACCAACAACAGCAGCTGCCACCTCATTCACAACTCAGTGCGCGCCTGCCTCTCAAGTAACCGTCATCGGCAATGTTTCTCTATCTATGGACGCGCTATCAATCCTAGACATGGGGCCGAGTTTCGCACCTAGTCAATCGATAGGCCCACAGGTGACTCGTAAGATTGTCAGCAGCCTACAAATCGTTCATGAGCGCCTGCGACACAGAGCTAGGCAAAACGATGATGAGCGCAATCAACAGAACGTTGGTAACGATTGGGGCACTAGGTTACCTCCCATACCCTTTCCCTCCTTATCCTTCAAACCGCAAGATCATCATCCAGTGGCAGACACCAAGTTTCGCCTCTTCGCCACTTCCGTTTTCTCAATATTGTCACGTTTCCGAAATAGACGATTTTCTAGCAATCTCACGCCCACACAACGCCGTGGCCTGCGTGAACTACGTGACATGCGCGCTAGGTCACAGATCAAAATATCAACCAGCGACAAAGGTGGGGATTTCGTCGTCATTTCACGTGACTTGGATGAGACCATAACTAGACACCACCTGAGTGATAGTTCTTTGTACTGCCCTTCGTCGGATAAGGAATTCGCTAAGCAATACCGTCGTTTGAACAGGGTGTGGACGGACGTCGCGCGATCTGCTAACATACCTAAAGCTTTAGTGTCCCGCTTGAAGTGTGAACTTCCCAAATGCCCAGTTCTCTATTTGCTAGTCAAAACGCACAAACTCACTGCTTTATCTCTACTCTCCAACAATCCATCAGATTTTAAGGTCAGGCCCATAATAAGTAGTTTCGGTGGTCCCAACGATAGAATATCTTGGCTGCTAAATCTAGTTCTCAACCAGCTGCTTAGGTTCATACCTGCACATTTATCAAACATCAAAATGTTTCTCGAACATCTTAGGAATACGCAGTTCACTAGCGATTGTGTGATGGAGTCCTTTGATGTTACTTCTCTGTACACCAATGTTTCCAACAAGTCTGCCATGGAAGCCGTGTTTGAGCTTCTCATGGAACATCAGGACTCTTTCCACATGTACGGCCTCACTATTCAGCAAGTAATGACTCTCTTGAGTGAGTGCTTGAACTGCTGCATTTTTCGTTGGTCTGGAAGGTATTACAGACAAGTTAGAGGGTTAGCCATGGGGCAAAGACTGGCTCCTACCTTTGCTATTGCCTTTATGTCCAAAATTGAAACCCCAGTACTTGCCCGCAAGCCACTATTATACTGTCGCTACATAGACGATTGTTGTGTAGTATGTCCATCACAGAGTGAGATGGACATCTGCTTCAATCTCTTGAATACCCAGTCTCCCAACATCAAATTCACCCGCGAGACACCCAGCGATAATTGGCTTGCCTTCCTCAATGTGCAGGTATACTTATCCAATGGGGTATACAAGACCAAATGGTTTCGTAAACCTAGCAGCAAAAATATACTAGTCCATTATAGCTCTGCACACCCTTGGAGCACTAAGAGATCCGTGGTAAGCAACATGTTCAGAACCGCTAGGGTGGTCTCTTCAAATGCGCAGGAACGCACCGTATCGATGAATCTGGCTACACAGATCGCGCAGTCTAACGGTTACCCCATAACAGGCAATCAGTTTAAGTCTAATCATTTGCCAGGCCGTAGATCGCGCACACTTGAGCAGCCTCCAAAAATTCCTTTTTGCGTTCCCTTCATTTGCGACGAATTTAGCAGAGCAATCAGGAGAAGTCTGCAGCACGCGGGGCTTGCAAATGACGTAAGAGTCGTAGACATACCACCCCCCAACCTTAGGAAACAACTTATACGAAATCGTGCCTACGACCGGTTATGTACGATTCCGAATTGCGTCATTTGTCCATTTGGGAAGCAGGGGGATTGTATGGAGTCTGGCGTAGTGTATCTGATTACGTGCCAGACATGTGGAGATCAGTATGTAGGGGAAACCGGGAGGCCCTTGTGCGTACGGGTCAAGGAGCACCTAGACGGGCTCGAAAAATCGAAGTTGTCTACCCCCTCTAGGTGCCCACCGCAGGCAACGCCATGACGATCAACACTATGACGTAGCTGTCACCATCTTATCGCAGGAGCCTGATACAGTAGCGCGAAAGACGTTGGAGGCATTTTGGATAGCATCAAAAACTCCAAAAATAAACCGCAAAGAAGAGTGCATTGCCGTGACTACCGAATTAGCACCGTATCAAGCTCTTTGTGGCTTTTGACCTACGGGTCTGGGTCAGGTCAGGTCATCTGGGCTAAATAGTGGTATAGCAGTACACAGTAACGGCTATCCATTAGGTGGCCTGCTCTTAGTCTCCATTGCTGGCTATTGAGGTAAGCATTAGCTTAGTTACGGTCTCTATCTTCATCTTGTAACTACCTTGTGTTGAACGGTATCTGTTAGGTGAGACTGAGTGCTTAGAGGAACAGTTTCGCATAGTTTTTGATCTTTCAGGCTCCGAAGAAGGAGTTGTACTCCGAAACGTTAGCCGAGAAATAAAGATCGATACCAATCTTGGCCACTGCTCAAATATCATACCAAAGCTACATGGACTATGCCAAGATTAATTGACAATCGAGCTCTAAGTGTTATTGAAGACGTCCTCAGATTCAAGAATACAATCGAGATATCAAGGACATGCTGTATATCAAAAGATTCGCTTTGATGAGTTGAGCACAGCACCGTTTTCGGATTCAGAATATACTTATTCCGGAGGAAGTTATGGCGAGTAGAATTTAAAGGCGCGTGATTTTTGCAGAATTCACCATCTCTTTTCGCGCTTTATAAAGCATGTCTCCGTCTACTTTTCACCGCTAGATTATCTACGGTAACAACTCTTTCCGATTTACCTTACCGAAATCTTTTAAGTGTGAAAGGGGCTGGCCCACAGCGTTGCAAAGAGGTGTCTGCAGAAAAAAGTCAAGTTTTGCTGGAAGCAGAATATCATAGTCATGCGGTGTGTCACTTTGCTCACATAAGCAACAAGACATGCTGATTACAAAGATTATAACCGTTTTGCTAATCATAATGTTACTGTATAGTTATGTTTGTTTGACGGCAAGTGGTTCATGCATATTTACTAAGTTCACGTACTCCTTTCTCTTTTTTCCACTACAAAAAAGGATATGGTTTTCTGCTGGAAACACTTTGCAGAAACTCTTCCATCAAACGCTCTTTATCTTAAACCTTTGCCTACGTTATGCGCCGAAATACACATTCTAGAAAACACCACCACAGGATGCAACGGATTCCTACCATGCACTTACCGTGACCGAGCCGATTACAGCAGCTCAATATATGAAAAGATTCGTCTCGGCGAGCTGAATCCAAATCTGCCTTCAAATTTGGAATCCATTGAAAACGAAGGGAATTATGACGAAAAGACGCAAAGTCGGCGACATCGGCGACATCGGCGAATTCGGCGACATCGGCGAATTTGGCGATTTCGGCGAATGCGGCGAATTCGCAGAAATTTTTCACATTTCACTGTCACAACTATAGTCTGCCTACTTATTATCGATCAATATCTTCTCTATTTCTTAGAAACAAAAGGTATTTCCTTCTTTTCAGAAAATGGTTACGTATGTAAAGGAGTAAAATTACGATACTTTGCAAACGTTGAAACTCCATAGAAATTTTACAACTGGCAGTGAGAGGACCTTTTCCATACAAGTCATCATCATCATTCAACTATCCTCTAACTACTCAGCAACAAATTGTAGTGTGCATTCATTTCAAAAAGACTTCGTATTCAAGAACTCAATGAGATAATCGACATTTCAAGCTCATCTTTCATTGGCCCCTCAAACAGATTTCCCGCTCTCTTTCATTTTCTTCTCTCTTCTCCCTCTCTTGTACACACGATTCATCTCAAAACTTTTATCAGCACAGTACTACCCAAATACAATTTTCAGGAGTTCGACAATGATGACAGATTTGAAATCTTTGAAGAGTTTGAAGCTATATCAAATTCTCATAAGTAAGCTATTTCACAATTCGTCGTGTTCACTATAGAGAACATGAGCAAGCTGAGTTTTACAGTGTAAAGCAAATGGTATGCTGACAGTAAGCACAATTTATGGGAAATCCCCCGACATTGCTACTTCTTCATGACCGCCATATCATTACTATCTGCCAAAGTACATTGAAAATCGCTTGGAGGCAGATTCGAGCACGTACGGCGAGTACGAGAAAAACGTGAAGTGCAATAGCGCCTGTCCCGATTATGCCCTTGCCCAAGTGGCATTCTACCATTTACTTCTGATGCAAGAAAACCTCTTAGGAAACAAACTGTTGCAAATGGACCGACAACTTTATTTTCCAGATTTGGTGTTCATCTACTATTCCACACGTTATCGTTAGCACTCAACCACAAAATCAACGTGTGCAAGTCTGTTTGATGAAGCATAAACGTCCGTAATCTGTTAGATCGGAGCGAATGACTGTGCCGTTTTTAGCTTTCAATAGGATGAATGCATGAAAGAAGGCAGACGTTTTAAAAACCTAAATTTCTGAACTAATTGCTCTCATAGTCATTAAAATGATTGCTTGTTTCGAACCCATATATTTTACCATTTATCGTACAAAAATTCCATTTTAACTTTTAGAAATGCTTTCGTAGTAGTTGGATAGCGATAATAAAATGCAATGAATGCGTTTTTTGGCATCTATAGCTAGCTTTGAAAAATGTGGAAATTAAAAATTCAAAAAATCGAATCATTTTTGATGCTACCAAATTTCATATTGTCAACCAAATATCGTAAAAACTAAAAGCTACTTTTGTCTCGTTTGGCTTTTTTCTCGTTTTACAGGTGCTTTTTCTTCCTCTGCAAAGGCTTCGGAGATAAATTATCACCATTTTTGAAGCTCCCGAAGCTGTACGAGGAAAAATCAAAGCATGTAAAAGTGGCAAGCGCCCGTTTGCTTTGTAAACTCAGTGTCGTATTATGATCTACTAATCTTCGAAATGTATTTTAATACCGAAGATTCAATTAGCGTTCAAGGCGTTCGGGTACGACACGCCAGCGGAAAAAGTGAAGATTCTCCGAAAGATTGTCCTAAAAATTCTGGAAAGATTAAAAAAGCTCCAAAAAATGCTATATATTTGCTCTATATAATTGCAGCAGCTCTTGTATGAATTAAAATTAGAAATATGAAGAATGTGCTACAGTGGGAATGGCAAAAAACATGGGAAATCATTCCGTGACCAGTTACTGTTCGAAAATAACTGCCGAAAAAACATAAGAGCTGCGTTGAAGAGTATTCAAAAACTTTACCTACCTTCAACGCATTTTATTTTAGTTTGCTCAAGAGTTTTGTCAGTTTTTTGAATCAACAGGCAAATATGGTAGAATAAAGGTAAGCATACAATTCGAACTAGTTTGATGCAGTTTCTTTCCCTTTCATGCTGCTATACCGAATTGTGATTTGTTAGGATTATGGTGTTATCCAACTTTTGTCAAATTTCAAAATTTTTATTTGGGATTTGAGAGGTTAGGTTTGATAGCCAGCAGGTATTACAAACGTTTTGTCCTGAAGCAATTTTTTTGACTCGTATTGCATGCAGACGGCATACTTTATGACTAACAAACGAAAGGGTAGTGTACAATCAAAAAGCAGTATGACACTATACTGGATGTGCGCATGAGTCGGAGAGAACTACAGCTAAGGCCCAAAATTTTATCGAACCTTACGTAAGTAAAAGCCGCACCCCACTTTTTTCGAATTGACTGAAACCATTCCAGTTAGGCCAGCTGACAAGGGAACCATGTTTAGTCGAAGTGGCATTGTGAATGGAATGTGTACCATATTGATCGTAAAAGGCTGATACCAGATCTGCCTTTTCATGTGCAAACGTTTATGGACGAAAAGTTATAAGATTTTATTAAAGCAAAAATTGCACGGCAAATAGCACAAAAATTGTCGTAATATTTTTCCTAGCTCTTTATTGGAGCAATGATAGTTATTGGAGCACTTCATTCAACTGATACTTTTATTCAAAAAATACCCTATTTTCCGGAGTATAAGCCGCATTTCTTTTCCACCGCATGCGGGCTGAAATGCGATGTCGTTCGCGATGCGCGAAGCTGCACAAGCAGCAACTACTATCTATTAGGTCGTTCCGAAAGTAATGTCGCTTTTTTCAGACGTACGCCACATCTCGTGGAATAAAGATATGTTCTGGTAGCATTTGATGTAGAATTTCATTCCCTTTCTAATGGTTATATAAGCGCTGCACAAAATTGGATAAGCTCTCGAAAAATTATCAAAATCTGCGACCCATGCTTTTTGAGAAAGCCAAGTTTCACAATTTTTTAAAATTTTTATAACAACTCTCGGAAGGAGTCTAAATAATGGATAGATAGAGAACACCTTACAAGAAACAGCACAATTTTTTTTTACTTAGCACAGCTCGCCATAGTCTTTGTATAGATTTTTTGATGAAACCACGAAATTTTAGCAGGCTCGTCTCAGACGTAAATGCATCAAACACCAATAAATCCACGGATTTTAAAACTTACAAAGATGGATTATGGTTTGACACTATTTTTGCAAACCAAATGAGCATTCACCGCTTCAGATTAGCAATTTTCGAAATTTCAGGGTACATCCTGAGGCGCCTTGGAAAACGTGATTTATATGATTTTATCCCAAAAAACATGATGAATAGGAAACTAAAAACGACTGGTAGAAAGAGGAGAAAAAGCTGCGTCGAATGACCCCCGAGTTGCTTGCCGATTATTGTTCTGTGAGGTTTTAGTTGACTAAACGTGGAATTTGATAGCATTAAAAAATTGGTTTTAGAAATTCGAGGATGCGAGTTAAGGAAAAGAAAAAAGTAGTTTTGTATCCTATAGGGTTTGCTTTATTTATATGTCACTTGCACTTCTCCGGAGAGTAGGTACAAAAATTTAGAAAAATAGCCGAACTTGACCATAACAAAAAACATGAGTCGAAGATTCTGGTAAATTTTCGGGAGCTTATTAAATATTGTGCAATAGATATAGGGCCATTAGAAAGGGGATGAAATGCTGCATCGAATGCTTCTAAGATCTCCTAGAAATCTTGCTTCCACGAATTGTAGCGTTCACTTGAAAAAAGCGACATTACTTTCGGAACGACCTAATATTTCGCGTGGTAATCTAATACGGGCTTTCTGCTTTTGTTCTTTATTTGGTTTTTTCGCAAGTATATTTATTTGTGACAAAATTCTCTACCTTCTCATTTATTCTTCAAGAATTCGCTTAACAATAAAAGAACGTTCGAATACCAGTAGTAACATGAAATCCAAAGGTGATAAGCTTAAAACCGTTTATCAAAATAAAAGAAAGCACAACTTCAGCACCAGTAACATCAATGAAAAAAGGAAAGCACAGTGTACCAGTAGTATCATTTAGCTCTGTGCTTTTTATAGACCTCGTATAATTTTCACTGGCGTGCAATGTGCTCCGCAAGCTCGTTGCTAAGCAAACCACGTTTAGTGTCGGTATGATTGCCTTTCGATACTTTTCTTTCTCATGTTTTTCTTTATCATACACTAGCTGGCATCACCCAAAGCTTCTCCGGCATCACCCAAAGCACGGTCTCAGTTGATCCGTAGTCTTGTGTGTCAGAATAAACTTATCTGCTATTTGACCTTTGAGTCACCGCATCCTCCTCATCGCGAAGTAAAAATTAACCTTACCGCTCATGACTACATGATCATGGGGATGTTTGGTCATAAGATAAGTTACCGTAAACAAATCATAAAATTAAGAGAACTCCGATAAACCTCCTTCAAGGGTAGCCTATAAAAATCTTCGGTGTCCTTTATGTGTGCAAAGTTGCAGCTCGATTGGTGAACACACAAAGCCGTCTATTAGGGTGTCCCATAATTATTTACCGTTTTTACCTCAAACATCAGCATATCTCGAGAACTGAGGCACCTTTGAAATAAACATGATCGTACTTCTGTTTGTATGAGCTATATAATCACGTGTGCGGGAGGAGCTCAGGACTTCTAGGGGCGGAGTTTGCCATTTTACCTTATTCATTTTTTTTACTTCTTGCCATTGAAAAAAATTCGAAAAATTTGCATTCAAATGTGCGATGTGTCAAGCATGTGCTAGAATGAATTTGGAATTTTTCAGATACTTTGGGGCGGAGATACGATTTTTGACAGAAAACTTTGTTTTTCACTACTACCATATTTCAGCTCAATACTTTACGTGGATTATGATCTACGCAGATTCTTGACAGCCATCTTGTAGAGCTTGCTTCGCCCTATCGAATGGCTACTCAAGCCGCATCAGATGAAGGATAGATGCAAAAAAACGACAGTTGAAGTAAAAACGGTAAATACCTATGGGACAACCTAATATATTGCATATTAGGTTGTCCCGAAAGTTTTGTCCGTTTTTTCAAACCACTATAAAACCACGCACAATAAAGATCTGAATGAGTTTTAACATGCATTCGATGCAGATTTTCCTTCTCTTTCTTAAAGGCAGCATCCAGGCAGATCTGGACCTCTGGGGTTTACACGTGGAAAGTACAAGTATTTTTGGGGCCCTAACTAAGTACTGCCCAAGCGGCAGCGCAGGTAGTGCTCTAACGGCTGAATTATTCCCCTCGAAACTGGACCCCGCAATCGTAATTCGCATGAATTCATGGCGCAAGCGTTAATCCTGGCACGAAACTGCCAAGAATCCATGCGAATATGATCGCGGGGTCCAGTTTCGAGGGAAATATCTCAGCCGTTAGAGCACTATCTGAGCTGCCGGTTGGGTAGTGGCTTAGTTAGGGCCCCAAAATTACTATCCACGTGAGATCCGCATGTGTCCAGACTTGCCTGGACGCTGCCTTGAAGGACACATTTCCGGACCACAATCTTGTGTGCTTTGTTTTGATAATTGCCAAAATTCTCCACCTGTCAATTTTATCTGCTCAAAGTTGGGCTAATTTTTGCAAATTTTGCTCCAAAGTTTCGGGAAGGGTAAAGTATGGATAATATAGAACAGTTCTCGGACTACAAGGAAATATTTTTAGATTCTCCTGATCTGCTGCTTAAGCTTCAAAAAATAATTACTTCGGAGGTTTCATTTTTTGGCAAAATCATGAAACACGCAGCTGCGGCAAATACACGAAATTTCTTAACGTTTCTGCGAACTTTACTAAACATTATTTGTGCAACATAACTAAATGTGATTTGCTTTAAACAGCAGCTTTTTGGAATTTTTGGTATTTTTACGTGGTAAACATAGTCAAAAAGCCGCGGTTTTCATCAATCAAATAATCATAACGGACTTGATAAACGTGGATCGTGTAATCTAAAATGTGTACAATGTAGCCAAAGGTTTGCTCTACATAACCAGGGTCAAGCGTGGGGTGCGGCACGCCACACTTACTATCCATAATTAGCATGTCAAATAACCCCTGTAGATAAAGTGTGAGCGAATTCTGAAGTCCAAGATACTAGGCTACCTAAGTGAAATGGTCAAATTCCAACATGGTTAACTTTGTTTCAGAGGTGAATTAGCTAACCGTTTTTGCACTCAAGACAAAGCACTACTCCTTCTTTGTCCACCTCAGGAATCCCGCTTCGGAAGAACTCCAAACTGTGGAATTAGAAGCCAACCAATATCTCGTTTTTCCCATTTTTCGCTCTTGATCGCTGTGCTTTCACCAACTATTACTCAGAGCTAAAAAGACAAATCATGCTCCAAATAGTTCTATGGAATCTACAAGGTTTAGGCTATCGATTCATACAAATACTGTCCGCTAAAAATGTTTTTTTATTATAGTTAATGGGGTGCGGCACACCCCCTTAAAGGCAGCGGCTCGGCAGAATAGACTTAGATTTTGACACAGATGGATAGGAGGCTCTCCAAGTGAACCAAAAGAGCAACTCCAGGCCGGAAATGTGAATTCTGCAAGCCAGGGGGGCCAAGCGTCGCTCCCCTTCCTCCTTTTGATGTATTCAATGGGGTGCGATACACCCCCTTAAAAGCTGCGGCGGCCGCAGCTTTTAAGGAGGTGTGCATTTATATGAATCGATAGCCTATACCTTGAAGATTCCATAAGACTGTTTGGAGCCTGATTCGTCTTTTTAGCTTTGAGTAATATTTGGTGAAAGCACAGCGATCAAAATGGGAAAAACGAGATTTTGGTTGGCTTCTAATTCCACAGTTTGGAGGTCTTCTGAAGCGGGATTCCTGAGGTGGACAAAGAAGGAGTAGTGCTTTGTCTTGAGTGCAAAAACGGATAGCTAGTTTACCTTTGAAACAAAGTTAACCATGTTGTTATTTGACTATTTCACTTAGGTAGCCTAGTATCTTGAATCTTCAGAGTTCGCTCACACTTTGTCTACAGGGGTTATTTGACATGCTAATTATGGATATGTTGCCCATTATGTTTGGCAGGGCCCTCAAGTAATACTATCTTAAGTGTATTTCAGGGGGGGGGGGAGTCTTATTAAGACAGCAATCGGGGGGGGGGGAGGTCGTAATCAGCGATCGTGTGCCACACCCCTTGCTTGACCCTATACATAACAGTCACAGTGCTCTTTGAAAACATCAGAATAAAAATTGTTAAAATTCAGGAAATATTTCGCGTCACCCTAGATGCTTAAAAAGCCATGGCGATAACATTGCGAAGACAGCGTAGATAAGAGAGCAAATATAGCTGTAAGAAAAAGGATGAAATTCGAATCAAATGGTGCCTAAATCGTTCATGGATTAGTGTTCTGTGAATTTTGGTGAGCGCTGAAAAAAACGGACAAAACTTTTGGGACAACCTAAAACATGTGCACAGACACACGATTTTTTGCTTTATATTTATATACAGTGTGTCCCAAAAAAGTGTCTAATGCTTGAATGTTAATAACTTTCTCGTCACAAAACCCCTCGGAAAATGTTAACTACCATTTTGTACAGGTGGCTTCAACTTAGATAAACAATGTGGAACGAATTATCCACCCCTCTTCATTACTGTAGGACCACATGCAAAAACAAACAAACAAAAAAGAAACATGTGGAAACATGCAAAATATAGCGCCATCGTGAGAGAGGCCTTCAGAAAAATCCGATAAAAATTAAAAAATTATGTAAAAAGGTTTTTATGTATTCTGAAAGCGTTACGAAAAAGTACGAGTTTCACAATTGAAACAGCGACTCTGATTAACCTAGTGCAGCTTTTTTAATCCTTTCCTGGGGGTAAATAAGACCCTTAATGACGCAAAATCCCCCTCGAAGTTCCTACCGCAATACAACAGCAATGAAGAGACACGGTAGTCCGCTCCATACTGTAAGTTTGAACTGAAGCCAGCTCTACAAATTGGTAAACTCAGTACAAGAAAGTTAATGACAATTAAATAGTAGGCACATTTTTTCGACACTTTGCATATTGAAAGAGATTTTCATCATCATTCTCAAGGGGGATGGGGAGAGATGGATGAACAGAGGAGCGGAAATGAGAGGAAAGTGAGTGAGGGAAGGTGAAGAGGACATGGAACAAGTACGAGACCGTATCTCAGGTTCCGATCATGAAGTAAATCGCTTCGACGCATGGAGAAAATATTGATAACTTCGAATTTTTTACTCAATAAACGGTAAAAGAGTTCTTTTCCCTCATGCCAAATTGGAAGTAAGGAAGAAGGTGGAGGTTAAAGAAGATTCAAAATTAGAGGAGGCCTCGTTTCCGAATCTTTCTGGTTTCAGCTGTTGCCTTGTGCTTGCGCTAGATATGTGTAGTGGATTTTCTAAGTGAACCAGCGAATGATCTATCAAGCAAATAAAATTCTAATCCTTATCCTATAACACTACATTTCTATGTTAATCCAAAAATGCGCTGAAGAAGGTTTTTTTTAGGTTTGTCTGCTTTCTTCATCATCATTTTTATGATGACCTTAAATGAACCGCGCATTCATGGAAGTCCTAACTCGGTCAGTTTTTTTTACCTGTCGTGCAACCTATTCAAACCGCTTGAAGGATGGTAGTTTATAATATTCCTGGTTTGTTAACATGTTGACGACTATGCAAATTTCGAGTCGTCTGCCTTTCGGGACCAAGGCCTTTCACGGATCAGCGATTGGCCAAGCGCAAACGCGTAACTTGTAATTTGAACCAAGATCGCTTCTGAATTTGGGGAAGGGGGGGGGGAGTTCACAGAGAAAGGTACCTCTCACCCGTTGATTTTCCCCTGCACTAGAGGCTGCCTTTTTTCGCCTTTTCGCGCTCTCCTGTGCGGATTTTTGGATTCAGCATATTGAGGCCTAGGTAAGATAGGAAATGCAAGGCGGAACCTTGCCATACTCTTGTTTGCACGAAATTGGTGTGTGCCTTCAAGGGACCTAAGACAGGACACGGCACAGATCGTCTGGAAGCAAGCTGGACTTCGTTTTTGGAGCGAAAAACAAAAAAGATATCGTTTTGACGAGTTGGGGCAGAGCACCGAGAATAAGCGACATCTATTCGAACCCAAGCTTTTCGGACAGGTCATTACACGATTGACATGCACTATCGTGTACGGCAAAAAGTGCGCGCGATTTGAAAGCAAGGCTAAAATAAACCTCATTGCTTGTTTACACGCACACAGATTCATGGGAGACCAAAATTGAGCTGTATACATCGAAAATTATTTGCAAAAGAATTAAGCAAAAAGATTTAAAAGTTACGTAAAGTACTACCTTCTGCAAAATTAGTCCGTCTCCAGACGGTCACCAGACGATTTCAGATAGTCTGGAGCATATATCTCTGTCACTAAGTTCCGAATTTTTCTATCATGGACGGACTCCCGGTCAGAAATCTATCTTTGAGCATGAAGGCATTTTCATATCATTGCCTTTCCTTTGTTTTTTGCCTTAATTTCTTCATAAATCGCTGTTGAATATCGCGCTCGAATGCCAAACTCTTGTGCATGCGTAGTATTCAGCTCCAGTTTGGATTTGCACTCCTATCTCACGTTTATTCTTTCAGACTAGTAGTTCTTTGCTGTTTTCATCTTCTCCTAAGTAGGTAGGTCAAAGAGAGCTTCGTTTTCAGAAACGCTAGAAACCGATTTGAGCCCTGACCTTAGACAAAAAAAATTGAGATCGTTATGCGATACGACAACGATGTTTGCCCAATTTTAATTTGCTACCGTAGGGTTAGAAAGGAGTTTGGGCTCCTTACCATGTAAGCGATTGAAAGTAGTAGCTCGTGGTCTGCTGCCTCAACGTAGCAAGAAATGCATCCGGGTCTGGTAAGATGGTCCAACATCAGTCAGCCCAGTCCTGTCAGGCCATTCCCACCTACTTGATGATGCGAGTCCTGTACCAGTATCATGCACGAAAAGGTGACAGTCTTTCTATTCGCAGAGCGCTCCAGGTTGACTAATTAGGGTGTGGCGGAAGAATCTATAGTTTTCTTCGACTTTATATTGAACTCTGCAGTTTCCGCACATCAAGTCCGTGTTCGTCTGCCGCTTGGGATGTCAGATGTCAGGGACCAGTGAGGGGCGAAGAAATCTCAGATGCAAAAGCAAGACGTCTAAATATCCTTTCGGCAGCAAACCGTATTCAACAAGATTTTGCGGATTTCTTCGACTTTGTACAAACACGCACGGACATTAGCCTCAGTCCACTAGCTCTACATCCACCTCGGGGCAAACTGCATTAAAGGCAGTGTCCGGGCAAAAAGTCGGTTTTAAAGATTTTTTGCCGAGCCTATCCGCTATGCTGAATCTGAAAATCAACACTGAAGAGCGCGAAAACGGCGAAAAGGGGCTCTAACGCAAGAGGGAAACAGCAAGTAAGTGGGGTCATCCTAACCGTGAACACACTCCCACCTTCCGGAGCAATCTTCTCGATTCCACTAGCCGTCCTGACATCTCCACCGGCCAAGTGCAAACGACTAATTTGATACCGGAACCGAGAAAATCTCCTCGAAGGCTGGGTGAGTGAATTTGCAAATGGGGAAGACCTCGCCCGCCCGCTGATTCCCCTTTTGCTATAGAGCCCTTTTTCGCCGTTTTCGCGTCTTCTAGCGTAGATTTTCGGATTCAGCATAATAGGCCCGGGTAGGCACAAAATTTCAAAATCAAGTTTTTGCCCGAACACTGCCTTTGAATTCAAGTGATTGCACGGTACCCATTTTTTCAAGAGTACTGCTTTTTTTCTCGCACCATATTTGGTCCCAATTTCACGGGAAGGAGTGTCAACCTTTTGCCACGTGTCAAAAAAATTTGACATGTCATCTACATGTTTTACATATAAGAAATGAAGTGGCTATTCTTTTGTACTTGACTCGGTAGTTGCTTGATTGCGATTGAGTGTTGGTGCTCGCCGTTTGGTAGATACCAGCCACGCGGATTGCCAAAGCCAACCTTAAACTTGGGTAATTAAACTTTATTAGTAACTATAAAAATCATACAAACAACGAGTAAATACGGTAATATGTGAGTATTGCAGTTATATGAGAATAGAGGCGGAATACTTGTAAATGAGTTCGTAAATGAGTAGTAATAAGTGAGATTCGGAGAGTAAGTGAGATTATATGTGTAAGGCACCAAATAAATGAGCGGTTAAGTGAGGAATAAATGTGAGGTTAACAAATGAGGTTACAGGATGAGTTGAATGAACTGTAAAAACTGTAAAACTGTAAGAAGCTCAAATGAATCAGAGACGGGCTCAGCGCTATTTATACGCCTCGCAGATAAAGAGAAGAAGTTTTTTATGAAGGAGTTGAGGCTAAGCGCGAGTTGCCCTTTATTCATCGGAGCTTGAGAAATAAAGTGCATCTATTCAAATTAGAAGCAAACATGCACTTTAAGAAGCTGAAAGAAAGAAGTGCAAGATTTCTAGCTACCAAACTTGCACTTCTTGGTTTAAGATGAGTAATCGTTTGATCATAGTACAGTTTTGTGTGCCTAACAAGATTTTAATATGATATATAGTCGTTAATGACGACATTACAGGTTTTACCAAAATTTTGTTGTGCACTGCCTAGCGACATGAATACTCTGTGTTCAAGTCAATAATGACCCCGTTTTCAAATAAGAGATTTCAAAAATGAGAACTGTTATGAAAATAACGTCATCCTGTAATAATTGAACGGATTAGATTTGCCCAGAATGAAAAAGTGCGCTAAGATTCCCTTATCCAAGCGGCGAAATAAGCAGCAGCGAAATACCGCAAGCCATCATTTATAGTCTCTCCTGAGCAAATTTGCGTGGCGGAAAGTTTGATGAGGAAGACAAGTTTGAATTATTCCTGAAGGCAACTAGGTTTTTTGTAAGTCCTAGACAGTTTTGCTCTTTAAGAAAACAGTTGAAAGGCTTTTAAGTGCTCACAAAGCTTTTTTACTTTACCGGAAGTGATTTCGAAAAAAAGTCAAAATGGACTAAACGTGTCAAATTTTTCCTGACACGTGGCGGGGAGGCAGTCTTTGTAGAATCTATAAAAAATTTCTAGACTAAACAACGTATGTTGTGAGAGCCTTTTGAGAAAATGGCTCCGGATAACGGAAAAGTACCACAAATGATTGCACTACTTAAATTGAAAAAAAAGCTCGATCACGTTTCAATAAAAGGATGGAACTCTTTTCATAACAAGGGCGAAGGTTCCACCACGCAACATCAAAGGAGTCGGAGTAAATTTTGTAGTACAGCCATCCACTAGTCACCTTGAAATGCTTTCTTCTTGAAGTCCATCAGCGAAACCGAAGAAATTGGACGAGGTGAATGGAGGGAGGAAAACAGGGCTTAGGCTAAATTGGAAGAAGAAGCAGTTCATTAGAAATCCTGGTGCACTAAAGGCCAATTATTGGGAGGAACCGATAAAAAAAACCTCGAATTACGTTTACTTTCAAACTCATTGACTCGGACCTATGCGCTTACCTTTTTTGGTACAGCTCTCCCGACTTTGAGTTGACACTTTAGCAATTAAGAAGACGTTGTGAAGGCACACAATGGCCATGAATCCGCAGCTTTGAGCTAAGGGTGCAAAATGTAGCAGAACACGTATCGAGGATCAAACATAGGTGGGCTTTGTAGAATGATAAGAGAAGACGTAGATGAACAATAACTGCGTTGGAATGGATTCCAAAAACTTCAAAACATCAAGTGGAAAACCATGGAAGAGTTGGTGTGATAAGTATAATTCAAAATCATCCTGCAATTGCAACCGCGTATCAAGACGTTTATAGATCACGATTGCTCGAAACCTACAGTTGTGGCCGTGGAATTTGTCCAAAATTGCGGGATTTTCGGGATTCGCGGGATTTTCGGGATTCGCGGGATTTTCGGGATTCGCGATGTTTGCGGAATTCGCGACTTCACGGGATTTGCGGGACTTGCGGGATTTAGCTATAACTTCTTTTAAATCCAAATTATTTGCAATCTGCGTGTAGATTTGGCTTCAGCTTGATGAGACGAATCGTTTGATATACAGTATGTCCGTAATTCGTGGTGAGGGGGTAGACTTACAATGATACCTTGTTGCTCTCTATGTTAAGGCTTTTGTGAACATTTATCACAGCGTAAGTCACGAATAGCAGGTTCTGGTACTAAGTTTTCATTATCGAAAACTATCGCGAAAAATTGGGCAGTTTTTATTTACCCTTATCACTGATATAAGCATTTTATCATTTATCACTGATAATATCACATTTTTGGATCATTTTTGCATATGGTAAGGAAAGTACTGTAGGAAAAGCTGTGTGAATTTCTATCGCTCTTTCTCTCATTATAAGTGATCTACAGGCTTTTCTAGTTCTATCTATTGCTCGGTGCAATTGGTAGATCCCTCGCTGCAGCAATCGATCGATTTTTCATCGGCACATGCCATTGCTGCCAATTCTTACCTAGAATGGCATTTTTGCTTCAACTCGCTTCACGCCGAAGCCTGGGCTGAAATTCTGCACCTATATGGAAGATGAACGTGGAAATCGACCGCATGAATTTAAGCCATTCTTATCTGTCGTTGTCATTGATATCATCATTTTATCATTTATCACTGACGACACAAAATTGGATCATTTTTGATATACAATAAGAAATGTAATTTAGAAAACGCTGTGTGAGTTATCGCTCTATCTCTTATAGTACAAAACCACTCACAGAACATGCAAAATTTCCGGGAATTCCGCGAAATTCATGTGAATCACGCAAATTACGCAGGGCCATAACTTCTTTTCGAATGAGTATGTGCAAAATCCGAAAACAACGTTGTATTCAGCTCGTCAAGGCGAATCTTTTGATATACAGGTTGTCTCCAATATCTTGTTTTCAATAATCTTGAATTTGCATGCCGACGCCTCTTCGCATGGGTGTAAGGCAACAAGCATCACACATAGGAGACTGCCATGGGCACCGTTCGATAGTACTCTTTCACCAGATTATCGTGCGCTAAACTTCAGCCGAAGATTTTCTTTCAAAAGAGATAGAAGAGCTGATAAACTCTGGAAAAATTAAGCTGTTCCAAGTTCTACTAGCCGTAACTTTCTTTAGAATGAACATTTTCGAAGTCAGAAAGCAGATTTGTGTTCATCCTGTCAAGTCGAATCTTACTGTATACAGCATGTCCTTGAAATTCCGTTTTCAATTTTTTCAAAATTTTCTGCGCGCGTATATTCACAAGGTCGCAACGCAGCGCACGTCAAACATAAAAGACTCTATTAAGCACTGTTGAATTGTGCTGCTTCCACAGATTATCGAGCGCTAGGAAGCAACCGGAGAATCCTCTTGAGAAAAGATAGAAGAGCTGGTGAATTCTGGAAAATCGTGTTGTCTCAAATTTTGCCCACAGTGACCCTAAAATGAGAAGCTCTACTGCTAAGCAGATGTGATTTTCGTAATCAGCAGGTCAGATAACCTCTATGAGCAAGTTTTCAAAGAAATTTGGGTGATTTGATTTTTTCTCGTTCTACGCCCTGAAGCTCGCCGATCGGTTTTGGTCAAAATGTCGATGATCTTGGATTGTAAAGAAACTTCGCCCAATGAGGTTTTCGAACACGCTGTTTACAAAAATAGTGGTCTTTGAAGAAGACAGGGTCTTTTTGTAGAGATATTGTGAGGTGACTGTAACTGAGTCACGAAAGTTCGTAAATTTTCCTGCACTTTTCGCGGATTTGTCAGAAAACTTGCCTGCTTGCTTTTCGAAGTCAAAATCACTGGGAACTGTGCTATCAAAAGCTGCATGCTCAGGCTCCAGTCTATAAAGTTCGCCGAGTTACGAGCCTACGAAAACACGTCCTCATGAATTTCGCTCAAAATGTAAAGATCGCGTATTTCGTCGAAATTCCACCCTCAGTGGTTGTATGACATAATAATCAAATCTGTTCACATCGGTTAATGGTCTTAATGTGCTGGATTTGAAAATTAGGTAGATCTGAGCTCAAGCTACGAAGGTGCTTGGATATTCAACTGAGCAGCTGAAGAACGCGCGACAACCATATTCAACTCAATGGGATCCCTTAGGCGAAGTGAGTATATGCAATCAGAATGTCATGCAACCACTGAGGGTGGAATTTCGACGAAATACGCGATCTTTACATTTTGAGCGAAATTCATGAGGACGTGTTTTCGTAGGCTCGTAACTCGGCGAACTTTATAGACTGGAGCCTGAGCATGCAGCTTTTGATAGCACAGTTCCCAGTGATTTTGACTTCGAAAAGCAAGCAGGCAAGTTTTCTGACAAATCCGCGAAAAGTGCAGGAAAATTTACGAACTTTCGTGACTCAGTTACAGTCACCTCACAATATCTCTACGAAAAGACCCTGTCTTCTTCAAAGACCACTATTTTTGTAAACAGCGTGTTCGAAAACCTCATTGGGCGAAGTTTCTTTACAATCCAAGATCATCGACATTTTGACCAAAACCGATCGGCGAGCTTCAGGGCGTAGAACGAGAAAAAATCAAATCACCCAAATTTCTTTGAAAACTTGCTCATAGAGGTTATCTGACCTGCTGATTACGAAAATCACATCTGCTTAGCAGTAGAGCTTCTCATTTTAGGGTCACTGTGGGCAAAATTTGAGACAACACGATTTTCCAGAATTCACCAGCTCTTCTATCTTTTCTCAAGAGGATTCTCCGGTTGCTTCCTAGCGCTCGATAATCTGTGGAAGCAGCACAATTCAACAGTGCTTAATAGAGTCCTTTTATGTTTGACGTGCGCTGCGTTGCGACCTTGTGAATATACGCGCGCAGAAAATTTTGAAAAAATTGAAAACGGAATTTCAAGGACATGCTGTATACAGTAAGATTCGACTTGACAGGATGAACACAAATCTGCTTTCTGACTTCGAAAATGTTCATTCTAAAGAAAGTTACGGCTAGTAGAACTTGGAACAGCTTAATTTTTCCAGAGTTTATCAGCTCTTCTATCTCTTTTGAAAGAAAATCTTCGGCTGAAGTTTAGCGCACGATAATCTGGTGAAAGAGTACTATCGAACGGTGCCCATGGCAGTCTCCTATGTGTGATGCTTGTTGCCTTACACCCATGCGAAGAGGCGTCGGCATGCAAATTCAAGATTATTGAAAACAAGATATTGGAGACAACCTGTATATCAAAAGATTCGCCTTGACGAGCTGAATACAACGTTGTTTTCGGATTTTGCACATACTCATTCGAAAAGAAGTTATGGCCCTGCGTAATTTGCGTGATTCACATGAATTTCGCGGAATTCCCGGAAATTTTGCATGTTCTGTGAGTGGTTTTGTACTATAAGAGATAGAGCGATAACTCACACAGCGTTTTCTAAATTACATTTCTTATTGTATATCAAAAATGATCCAATTTTGTGTCGTCAGTGATAAATGATAAAATGATGATATCAATGACAACGACAGATAAGAATGGCTTAAATTCATGCGGTCGATTTCCACGTTCATCTTCCATATAGGTGCAGAATTTCAGCCCAGGCTTCGGCGTGAAGCGAGTTGAAGCAAAAATGCCATTCTAGGTAAGAATTGGCAGCAATGGCATGTGCCGATGAAAAATCGATCGATTGCTGCAGCGAGGGATCTACCAATTGCACCGAGCAATAGATAGAACTAGAAAAGCCTGTAGATCACTTATAATGAGAGAAAGAGCGATAGAAATTCACACAGCTTTTCCTACAGTACTTTCCTTACCATATGCAAAAATGATCCAAAAATGTGATATTATCAGTGATAAATGATAAAATGCTTATATCAGTGATAAGGGTAAATAAAAACTGCCCAATTTTTCGCGATAGTTTTCGATAATGAAAACTTAGTACCAGAACCTGCTATTCGTGACTTACGCTGTGATAAATGTTCACAAAAGCCTTAACATAGAGAGCAACAAGGTATCATTGTAAGTCTACCCCCTCACCACGAATTACGGACATACTGTATATCAAACGATTCGTCTCATCAAGCTGAAGCCAAATCTACACGCAGATTGCAAATAATTTGGATTTAAAAGAAGTTATAGCTAAATCCCGCAAGTCCCGCAAATCCCGTGAAGTCGCGAATCCCGCAAACATCGCGAATCCCGAAAATCCCGCGAATCCCGAAAATCCCGCAATTTTGGACAAATTCCACGGCCACAACTGTATAGCAATAGTCAAAAATGAGGGCAAGCATGATGAGTGAGGACGACCATCTAACAGAGAAGGATTCTTTGCTTTTCCAGAAAGGACGCATACCTTTTTGAGGCAAACGCTAATTTCAAATTTGGTTTCCTTATCTGCGGAGCATCTTTGGACAGTCATTTATAAGAAATTTTGAAGCGAAGTTTCAATTGAATTAATTAGCTAGAAGAAGATCATTTATAGAAGACTCTCGTGAATTCAAATGATCACTGGTGACTGTCAAACCTTTTTATAAAAAAAATTTCCTGCTTGCTACCCTGGAACTTTCAACACTGATTTTACTCTAAACATCAATTTCTAACACATAAAACGCTCTTCATACCTAGATGCGCTCCGCAGATAAGGGAAACATATTCGAATTTAGCGTTCAAAGCTTTTCAATATTGTGTGCATCTTAACTGGAAGGTGACTTCGACCAAGGGTTTTTCTCTGGTAGGTAAAGTGCAGCGGAAACATGTGCATCAAAGTTAAACTTGTGCTTCGAGAGGTTAGTTCCAAATTGCTTGCTCCGGTAACACAAATGTTCGCCAAAACTTCGAACTCAACATTCTCACTTCGTCGCATTTAGCCAAGTTTGCTTTCTTCCAAAACGTAGACTTCAAATTGCAGATTGAACTTAGGCACAAGTGTGTTAGAAATTCGAGCCTCTTCTCCGTACCCTTCATCTTTCAAATGTACTGTTACTATAGTAACAATTATGAGTACCGTAGAACGTGGTCGAGTATTTCGTTTTTTGCATCGAGTTTCAAATAACTTTTCGTATCATCTTGTCCCGTAAAGTCAGTTCTGCTTCTTGTTCTGCTTCAGCCACAAAACAAATGCATTATTCTAAATGATTTAGACGCCTAATTTTAGAAGAATCATGCATTGAAATAATTTACTATGGTTGTGAAATTTGTCTACATCTTTAACCCACCATCTCTCATACAACAGACTTTTTTACAAAGAAAATCTGGAATGAGGATCCGAGCGCAATTGGAGATATTGTTGAGTTGTGAATTGATATGTGAGTTTGCGCACGACGTCACGCACCTTAATGAGTAACCTCTCAGCAAAATTTGTAAAGTAAAAAACTGCAAAAGTGTAGGCTATCAATCAGTACTATCCAACGAAGCCTTAAGAGGCAAGAAAAAAAAGAATGAAGTTGAATGGGTTTTAACCTTAAAGTTCGCAAAGTAGCATGCGTGGTGTTCAATACGCATATCAATTTTGAAATGACTCGACGATAAGCTGCATTTAGGTCAAGTTACCAGACATGAAGAGCACGCCTTCGAGGAATATTATTGCGATATTGACTATTGTGAAAAGTAACTCTGACAGAGCCCGTTACAAGACGGCAATGGATTCGATGGAGTGTTACGCTCTCCAGAACAACTACACATATTTGCAACTTTATGGCGAAAATTTCAAGACCATATGTGAACAAAAAGATGTGATTTACTTAGTCCTTCGCATTTTGCAAAACTTTGCAAACCTTCTTTTGTGACAGATTTACTTCCAACGCCACTGCATCGTTGCTCATATCCTCAGAATTCACCACTACCGTTGGGTGCTGCTATTAGATGCCGACGTTGGTGTCGTTAACGAGAAACGGCAAGAGCTTTTTTACGCTTCTTGATTCCACATTTCTCTTTCTTCCAGAAGATTGGAGGAGTATATCAAAGAAGAAGCCGACATCATTCTTTACGACAGATTTCTCAGTTTTCAAGTGGCAGCAGGTCTATAGCCCTCTTACAATGGAAAAATACTAAGTGATTGTCTCCAAGGGCAAGCCATGTACCAGCATAGTTTTTTGCGGTATGCTAAAAGCATATCTGCGTTTGATATAGGTTTGCGTTTTTGTGTGAGTGTTTACGACGGTTTTTCCGAAGTTTCCACAGCCTAACTTGAGTGCGAGTCTCGCATTTAGTGATAATGGCAAGGTGGGGTAGTGGATAGTGTGTTATAGATCTAGGCACCTGTTGGTTATAGCGGAAATATTCTACTAACTCAGACACTCGTACCGGCCGGCGACCGACGGAAATCGCTTTCCTGCCGGGGGCTTCCTTCCCTTTGCCACGGCGCGGGAAGCGACGGAGTTCAAATAGTACATCTCAGGTAATCGCGGGGGGCAGGCGGGCACCGGAAAAATAGATGGCTGATTTCTTGCACCCCGCTCGCGGATTTTTTGAAAAGCAATCACGACTTTTCGGGACGCCGCTTGCGGAGTTCTCGATTCCTCAGAGATTAAGCAATATATCTGCGATAGATGAAAGCGAAAAAAGATTTAACAGGCGGTCTTTCAAATCTCGCTGTACATTTTCCTGAAATTTGCGAGCGGAATGCGAAATTCCAGCAACGCGTATTTTCCGGCGCTCGCCTGTCCCCGGCGTTTGTCTGAGATGTTGTACCTTGTAAGCCCAAGCAAAGCTCGCCTTACAGTCTGTCCCAATTGGGATCAGGCGGAAACGCAAATGTATATTTGTGTGCTCGCACGCTAGCAGATTGCGCTGCATTTGCGCACTGTCCGAGAGAAAAAATAGATAGAAGAGGATGCAGACAAGCAAGCCAAAAATGTAATTCAAATCTTAGCGATGCGGACCTTCAGCCATAACAATTTTGGCCTCATTGGTTGCGACAGACTGTATTATTTTTTTCTTTTTTTATTGATCGCAGCTAATCTACTTCGTTCTGGTTTTGTTCATGTAATTGTACTTCTGAATAGATGTAACGCGTACTGTGCTGTTACATTTGGTTTTTAATTAATGTAGTTTTATCTTTGCCACACCTTTTACTTTTCAAAGTTAAAGAAAAAGTCAACAGCAAGGTGTTTTCCGTAAACTTGTCTTCATTATGCTTGCCTGGATGGCGGAAAAGAAGTAACATTGCGGTTAAAACATGCCGGCTGCGACGCCTTAAGTTTGTTTCGCGTAAACTATTGATTGATTCAAAAGATCAAAGACATGTTTACAATGTGTCATGAAACAAGTTTGATATCATGGTGTTCGAAATTTAGTTTTTATAATTTACAAAGGATTGGTCAAAATTCAAAGTGGCCAATCCCAGCAAGTCGTACACTCATGAACACTCCATGGAAAGCTGATTCCATATCTGTCTTCATCTGCTTATCGGTCCTTCTACACGATAAAAACGTGTTTCCCCTTTACGAGAAGTGAAGGTGGACGCATGGTGCAGTGGTGTACAGATCCATAGAACCATGCCTCTCTTTTTTGTTTGCAAGTTCGATTCCTTATGTTTTTCATTTTTTTGCAACCCAACCCTAAGATTTGTATTATTAGCACAAATCCAGGATCTTTCCGCACTCCCTCTCATAATTGCTTTCCACCCAATCATATAGGACTTTGTACTTTTAGAACTGAACTCAACACATTTTATATTATTGAGCATTCCGTTATTGCCTTCCATAAATTTTCACTATGAGCTTTATCCAATTCACGCAAAATTTTGAAAAATAATATAGATATTGGAGAAGATGAATAGCAAAGAAGTAGTAAGCAAAAGGAATCGAATTAGAAACAAAAACTGAAGCTTTCTTGTATGAGCCTGCAGATATACTACTCTAAGCGCCCACATTATCCTCTTTTGGGGGCGACACAAATCTATGACCAGGTCCATAAATTTGTGTAGAAGAACATTAAGGAAATTCAGAAAACGGATATGTAACCAGCCTTTTATGAAGTGTTTAACGGTATACAGCTTTCTGGGATTGGCCACTTCGAATTTTAAACATTCTCTTGTCAGCATACCTTCGATAGCCTGGCAGGGCGTCAAAGATGAAGGTTGTTTGAATGCTGTCCTTCATGCTTTTATAAAGAATTAAAGAAGGAAGAAGACGCAAAACAAATAGTTATAGCAAAAGAAACTCTTAAAAACGGGATTAAAACGCTGCAATGAGTTTGAAATCCTTCACCGGGCGGTACCTTGAAGTGCGGGTTTCCGCTTTAGGACCAGGCGGTCCACAACCTTGGAAAAAAACAAAGCTTTTTTCGTTTTTGACTGTTTTGAAGAAAATGACCATATTTTGAAAAAATCTGGCTCTGGAGCAAAAACCCGCATTTCAGAAGCCGCCAATACAGGATCAGGCTGCCACAACCTTGGAAAAAAGCAAAGCTGTTTTTTCTTCCGTGGCTGTTTCAGAAATAACCATTTCCTTAAAGTAGTGATTATCAAGAAGAAGGTAAACAAGATTAGAATTAGTTATGAGAAAGCAGAGTTTCTTTGTGACTATGTCGAAATGCACGTCAAAACCAGTTCTAGTTTTTGATGGGTCCTTCAAGTTCCTGTTTTTTGGGGACGTCGTCTGGATTTTGTGCCCACTATTCTGAGCAATAATCGCCCAAGCTGAAAGAAATAACTGCAAAAACACTGAAAGGAAACATGGTAAAAAAACTCACCTTTCACGATTTTCACAAAAAAATCCTTCAGAATAGAAAAGTAAGCTTTGCGCGTCCCTACCTTATAAGCAGAAGCAAGATCTGTCAAATGCACGAAAAAACCGCGTAATTAGAGTCCGACTAGATTAAAAACAAGAGATTTTCGAGGACGTGGTTTTGCCATTCTTCTCGTCCAAAACAAAAATTTGCAATCATTTTAATACAGTTATGTTCTTAACATCCTGGACTTCGCCTCGGATCACTTCTGTTTGCTATTCAGGTAAGGGTTGTGTTGTTTTGTGTCGCTCAAAACGAAAGTTACGAGAGTACATGGCTCTATGTATCAAGGGTATGCTTGCCAGTGTGATCGTGATTATGCAACCAGAAAACACTTGTTCGAACTTTGGACTATGGACTTTTTGACTAACAACATCAAATACTCTTATCAATTATGTCTTCATGCATGCTAATTATCTTTCTCTGTACATATTATCTACAGATGCGTGTGTTGGAAACTAATTCATTTTCCCTGCATATTTGGCAGTCGTTTGCTTATGGGTGATGTGTAAACTCTAAGGGCCGCATGCACTAACATGGCCGCGGGGAGGGGATCGCAGCTTGAAAGAAAGCTTCATATTTCGAAACTCCAGATACTTGGATATCACGTTGTGTACCTATCCGTAAGCCGTACGAACCGCATTTTCCAGCTTTTGTATGATCCCTGATGATCCCCGGCGCTTTTCTTTAACAAATTGACGACCATGCAGAATTTTAGTTGTCTACCTTTTGGGACCACGGCCTTTTTACGGACCAGCCCACTTTTTCAACTATAACTACGCATACTGCCATCTATAGTACACTACAGTAGATCTGAAAGGCTGACAAGGAAGTTAGAAGTCATCTCTAGATTCTATGCAAAAGAAAGCTCATGCAGTTAGTTTATTTCAGGATAGTAGTCATACCAAAGTTCAAGCCTTGACACACATGGTGTGTCAAGCGGTCCCACGCGGTAGTCATTTCTTGACACACCATGTGTGTCAAGCAGTCGTCAATATGTTAAAGTTATTTTTCTTTCTCCGAAGTTAACGAAAAACTTCCAAAGGTGTGCAGATCATCTAACCCAACAGTGCTAAGTGCTAAGCATGTTGCTGATAAGAACAAATGATGTTTTGAAGTCATGAAATTTTCGATGATCCACAGATCGAAATTTGGGTATACCGAAAAATTCGATTTTTCAAAAATTCATTTGTTCTCATCAGCAACATGCTTAGCACTGTTGTGTTAGATGTTCAGTATAACTTTGGAAGGTTTTCGTTAACTTCGAGAAAGAAAAATGACTTTGAAGAATAGATGTTCGTCCCCCAGGGATCATCAGGGGATCCTACAAAAAGTTGGGAAATGCGGCTTGTACAGCTTCTCGCTTCTGCTCAATATGTTCATTGAAGTTTGGTGGGAGTACTTACGGACAGGTAGACAGCGTGAAATCCAGATATCGGAGCTTCAGGATATGAAACTTTCTTCTGAAGCTGCGATCCCCTCCCCAACGGAAATGTTAGTGCATGCGGCCCTAAGGCTGCGTTCATACTGAACTCAAAGTCCGGGAGCAGTCTCAGCACAACGCTTAGTTTGAACAATGTGCTGGAACTGTCCCCGGACTTCGGGATCAGTATGAAAGCAGCTTAAATGGCGAATGCATTCTCATCTATCCTTTGACTGAAACCAAAAATGGTGAGTGGTGCAAAAAGATCATTGATTGAGTGTCTAATGCTGTCGCTTATGCTTTTGGCTTTGCTTCACTTACAGATACGAAGCGACTCCGTGCGTAAATAAGTTCTGTAATCATGATATTGGAACCATTTGTTCAGCTTTTCTTATTTGCAGATTGCTCCCGATGCAATACAGCTTTGCGCGGCTTATCGGGTACATGTGAGCAAGAAAGTTGCAATAAAATGCTTTTCTTACGCTACCCTCCCTCGTGAAATTTTCTGTCCCAGTGACTTTGTCTTGTAATCGACGGTCACATCTGCGCTTAACACCTTTTGTTCTTCTTTTAGACAGATGTTTTGCCAGATAATTTGAATTTCCCTGGCAATTTGAAAGGAAGAGGGTGAGTTTAAGCCTGAATTGTTTCAATGTTCAAAAAAGCTTCACATACATCAGCAGAATTTTTAATTATTTGAAGCCATTGGTAATTAGTGGTTTCGGTCATGCACCGCGAGCCGCGCGAACTCGGAGGGAAAAACGGTCAAAACTTCTCATACCACTTTCTACCGGAACGAGTATAACTCCAGCATGAAGAGTGTGTACATGTGTTACTTATGAAAAGGTCACGGTTACTTGTCATT